GGCTCTTGCATGCTAGGCAAGCTCTCTACTACTGAGCCACACTCTTAGCTCTCATATGATTTCAGATTCTCCCCTAGAACATAGTACATGGCTAGGGACACATAATTCTGCATAGCTGGACTTCTTAACTGCCAGTCATTGAATGTGAGTAGAAAAAAATTATATCTTTATTCTTGATAATCTCTTAGCTGCAATTTTTCATTGCATTTCACTGAGTGTAGAGAGCAAAATAGTAAAATTAGAAGTACCATGCTGGGGATTTAACTCAGTGGTTCCACTGCCAGTCTCGAAAGCACAAGGTCCCAAGTTCTATCCCTGGTACAAAAAAAAAAAAAAGTACCTGTCACTTCTTTGTCACAATAGTGTTCACAGATATTTCTACATTATAGTTGTTGTGGATGTCTTGAACTGTGATTTATATGCATCACTAGTCTGATATTACATCTATTAGGCCTGCTGTTAGATCTCATTATTGTATGGGCTGGGGATGTAGTTCAGTGGTAGAGAACTTGCCTAGCCTGAGTAAGGCACTGCATTCAAACCCCAGTACCATAAATAAATAAATAAATAAAAATCATTTAGTTTCTTTTCTATTTCTATAACTTTATTATGAATTTTAAAACATTATTCTAGGGCTAGGGATGTAGCTCAGTAGTAGAGCATTTGCCTAGCATGAGCCAAAGCTCTTGGTTAAATCCCCAGCACTACCCCCCCCCCCACGCACAAGTGTGCTTCAAAACATTATTCCAACTAGGGGTTCATAAACTTTACCCAACTCCCAAAAGGGTCCATGGTAGAAAAATGGCTAACACCCTTACTTAATAGAAATATGTTGCCCTAACTCTTTCCAAAGGGATGCTTGATGCTAGGTATTTTGTCATCTCTGGTTCAGGTCCATCTCTTGATGTTCTCAAAGGGAAGGTTCTGGGACATTTCCTCCCAATTCAGACAGCATCAATGGCCTGCAAGGCATTGGGCAAGGGAATGTCCTAGAGGCACGGAGTCAAGCAGTTACAGGTCTACTGCAACCACTGGCATGACAGTAGGACACACACACACACATCTCCTGAGAAAAGTAGCCACAGGCTATCTTGTACTGAGATTTGTCCCATAATACCCATTATCCTAGCATAGTTAGCTGGACCAACTAAGGATTTCACTGGTGGCCTGGGAAGAGATTAGCAGGAGAACTTGCCAAACAGGTACTTCCAGATTGAACAGCAACTAAGTGACCCAATTGAGATCCCATCTCTTGAGGAATTTGAATCTAAATACACTGGGGAGCCAGCAGAGGTGATACAAAGGGAGAGAGGGAAGTGGAAGTAAAAATGGAGATGTGTCAAGTCAGTGAAGCCTTTTACCTCACACTCTCCCAGAGGAGATATGGCCCAGTGCCCACGCTTTCCACCACCTAGAAGAGCTCATCTATACCAAGAGCTCACAGAACTATAGGGGGCCAGGAGTCCCCAACTGCCCAAGGTCCACAGCAGACATGTGACATGCCACAGTCTAACAGTGAGGACGTTGGGGGGCTTTCTCCTCAGTCTCTCTAGTAAGACTTCCTCTTCCTTGGGCCAACATTTAGCTCAGTGTTTCCGCTCCCTGCCCCAAAAGCGCAAGGCCCCGAGTTCGATCCCTGGTACCAAAAAAGAAAAAATCAAAAAACAAAGACTTATACAGAAAAGCGCATATTAAAAAATCTTTTAAAAAGACTTCCTCTGGGCGGGGGATTTAGCTCAGTGGTTCCAGCACCTGCCTCGCAAGCGCCAGGTCCCGAGTTCGATCCCTGGTACAAAAAAAAAAAAAAAAGACTTCCTCTTCCCAACCCATGAATAGGCTTGTATGGCTTGTGGCCAGTGCTAGGATCCTAACTTCTGTGTCCTTGCCAGTGCCTTTCCAAGGAATTCTGATCTGCTTGACTTCAAAAATAGCCAGAGCCAACGTTGCCTTCAGTGGGGAGGAGGGTCAGATGGTAGGTGGGCAGAAATGAGAGGGACAGTGAGCTTGGTCACTCACTCCCATTCAACAGAAGCAGGATGGGGAAGAACCCTCTAAGCTGGCTGCCTTGGAGCCCATGGTAAGGCTCCTCCCTTCCCTCTGGGACCCATTGCACTCCTCTCCTCTCTCTGGAATTCTTCACAGGGCAAATCTAGTTCACAGTCTTTGCCCAGAAACAGATTCAGATTCAACTACATCCATATTTCAATCTTAACAAAGTTTTATTTTTTGTTTTTTTGTGTTTTTTTGGTACCGGGGATTGAACTCATGTCCTTGCATTTGCACAGCAGGCGGTGAAACCACTGAGCTAAATCGCTGGCCCAACCAAGTTTTAGATGTAAGGAAGAGAGGCTCAGAGAGAAGTTTGATGCCTGCAGTAAGAAATGAGGAGTGTGGGCCAGGGATTTAGCTCAGTGGTTTTGCCGCCAGCTGCGCAAGTGTAAGGACCCGAGTTCGATCCCCGGTACCAAAAGAAAAAAAGAAATGAGGAGTGCAAGCTCCTTAGAGGGTTCCACAAAATTTCTGTACACTTGGCTATATCCACAACTCCCTTCCTCTCCCCTCACAAACTGATAACTTGTCCTCCCATCCTCAATTCTTTGCCTCTATGCTCCCTTGGCTAGAATACCCCAGGATGCCCTGGTGAATTCTCTGAATCAACCTTTAAGACTTAAAGCAGGCTCCTCTGTTCACTTTCAGTGAAGCAGGTGTACCAATTGCCTTTGGATGGCCACTCCTTCACATAGGGCCTACAAAGTTAAGGAACCAATAATATGTGCTCTTGTTTTCTTTTCATTAAGATGTTAGTATCTACAGAGCTTCAGGATAAGAATCCCTTGCCTAGTTATTGGTGGAAAATAGGTGCCACCTGTAATCATGCATGACCGCTTGGGTCCCAGCCATATTCGTTAATGGGTTTATTCAATCACTCAACAATATATAAATGGCCTATTATGCTTTAAACACATTGCCAGGTGCTGGGGATCAAAGATGAATGGAGAAATTAACCAGGAGGATAAAGTTGAACAAACACTTAAAGAACACTAAAAATCCGTAAAAGAAAAACAACAGAGGGTTTAATTTGTGCTTCCGTCCAGGTGTAAGGGGTAGCTCTCCCCCCCCCCTTCCCAAAGCAAAGATTTCAGGGGGATTAGCTCTATAATCCTCAGGCTGGGCGTCACTTGCAGGATGATGTGACACCCACACCTAGACCTATTGTTTTCCTAATTCCCAGAGTGGGATCCAGGAATTAGTGGTCTGGTTGGCTGCCCACTCGCCATCAAGAAGCCCCAAGAAACCCCTGAAACTATTCTCCCTTGACTCAGGACACTCCACCTTTGATTATCAACTGTCCTTAAAGAGGTCTCAAGCGACCTTAGAAGACTCGAGCCCTTTAAAAGGAGAGAAGACTGACGAGAGCGGGCTGGTGAGGACGGAGGGCGTCACAAATCCTAAACAGAAATCTGAGCAGCAAGCCAGATTTGAGGCGGTCGCACCCCGTGCCCGTCACCTAGCGAGGCATCGGAGCCCAGCGCCGCTGGGCTCCGCCCCCAAGAAGAGGGCTCCGATTGGCCCGCGCGATAGCAGGGCGAAGCCAACTCTTAAAGGTCCAGGAACTAAGTAAGCAAACGGGGAGGAGGCGGTGGCCGCTGCGAAACCTAGTGAGGTGATGCCTCGTGGCCACGTGGGTTTCTTTCAAACTTGTGTAAAGCCCGTACCCTAGTGGCCCATGGAGCCCACGAAAGCCTCTCCACTTTTCGGGGGTGCCTTCTCCGCTATCTTCCCCCGTGGGGCCATTGACGTAAGGTGAGAAAGCCCAGGCGCCAGTGGAGGCCGACTGGGTGGGTTGCGGGAAGAAGCCAGAATCAACCAGTGTCTGCTTCGCCTCTTCCCAGCGACCTCCGACCCGTCCCGGACAACCAAGAAGTTTTCTGTCATCCCAGGACTGACCAGAGCCTGATCGTGGAACTTCTGGAGCTGCAGGCCCACGTGCAGGGCGAAGCAGCTGCTCGGTGAGGAAGGGGGCTGGCCAATGGGAGGGCCAGAGCCGAGGAGGTAGGCGGGGCCTGTGGCTGGACGGTTATCAGGAAGAGAACTCCCCAGAGCAATACGTACTGTGCGGACCAAAGTGAACGAAAGATGCTGGGGGAGGGGGGGGGCGGGCGGGTAGGCTTTGAGAGTTTCCTCTCTCTGCTGTGCCAATTCAGGTATCATTTTGAGGACGTTGGCCGGGTGCAGGGGTCTAGGGTCCTGCAAGTGGAGTCTGTGCAGCCCCTGAATCTGGAGAACCTGGCTTTGAGAGGCTGCTGTCAAGAAGCCTGGGTCCTCTCTGGCAAGCAGCAGGTAGCTAAGGAAAACCAGCAGGTGAGGGCCAAGGGAGTGTGAGATGTCCTGGAGCGGGGAGGGGGGTGGGTAGGCTAGGGATCCAGGTAAGCATCCTGACTCTGATCTCTTAGGTAGCAAAGGATGTGACACTGCATCAAGCCTTGCTGCGAGTGCCTCGGTACCAGACTGATCTCTTGGTCACCTTCAATCAACCCCCGTAAGGAGAAGAGAAAGGGCGGGTGGTTCATGTCTGGGGCTAGGCTGGATGGACAGAGGAAGGAGATTGGCAGGTGGGATCCTCCAAGGAGTCAGAAAGGGGCCAGATGCTTGAGGTCACAGATAACTGTGTCCTCCGGGGAACCAGAAATGGGAAGTTGCAAACCTCAAGCTTGAATGCTGTTCTTTCTCCCTGTGTTCCCTCACCCCCAAGCCCTGACCACAGGTCATCTCTTGGCCCTGAAAATCTATCATCTCCTTCCTGGAACCTGGGTGACTTTGAACAGCTAGTGACCAGCCTGACCCTTCATGATCCTAACATCTTTGGTCCCCAGTAAAGATACTGAAGCACTGCATAATGCTGCTAAGGACTTAGGGACGAAGTTCTGGGAGGGAGAAAAAGAGGTTGAATACCTGGGTTTCCTCTTACTTCTTCCCCATGGATAAACACAAGACATCTCTCTGCAGAAATAAACTGACTTTATAATCAATATAATTCTATGCCTTTGAATAACAGGACACCTGGGTTTCCCCAATTCCCTTTGGCCTTGGAGGAGGAAGTTTAAAGCTGTTCATGGGAGGAGTAGGAACCCAAGGCTGACAATAAAAAGAGGGAGAAAATACACTTTGGAGTGAGTGGTTCAGCCCTGAGAGAGGAGTGTGAAGTATACAAGGGTGGTGGGAACGAGAGAGCAACATCTAAGTGAGGGAGGGAAACTACTGCTTGTAGTGATTCAACCCTGAGAGAACAGATAGGGAATGGGGTTGACTATCCCCCTTTGCATGATAAGTAACATGGTGAGTAGTCACCAAGATATGGCAGTGGAGGCAGAAGTGTCAATCTAGTGGAGTGTGGGTAATTGGCTGTTACTTAATGTACGTGTGGTAGAGGAAGCGCAGCTGGTCCCAGAAGAAGAGGGAGAGGATGGTATGTGGGCCGAGACGGAAGTAAGAGGCACCTATGCCCTTGTACATGCCCAAAATGCCCTCTTTCCGAGCTGTCTGCAGCAGAGCGTCCAGGATCCCCCGGTACATGAGGCCCTGGATCATGTTGGAGAGGAAGGGAGAGCACAGGAAAGGATCTTGTCAGAGCTCTTACCCTTGTGAGCTGCATTTGAGTCTGTCCCACCTGCACCCACAATCTGCTCCCCAACCCCAAGCTTTTCCTGCCTGCCTGCACCCCGGAGCACTCTCTTACCTTGCCCTGAACATCCGTGGGCTGGTTATAGAGCCTTGTGCTTGCCACATCAAAGGGTGTCATGGCCAGGACTACTGCAATGCCACTCACCATGGCAGCTGCCAGAGCCACCTTCCAGCTCTGCGGAGGAAAGATCTACAGGATAAAAGAGGAAGAACTTTGTCAATCAGCCAATCATTCAATCCCTAAGACTGGACAGGCCATGCTCTGGGGATGCTGAGAGCTGTAAGTCAGAAAGCTTTTACTCCAGCAATTATAAGTCAATGTGATAACTCAGTGAAGGAGGAAGCCAGTGTACCCTGAAGGCTCAGGTATCTCTTATGGGAGGAAGTGACAAGAGAACTGTGGGAAGAGTCCCCAAGCCCTCCTGTTGCTCCCCGACATCTGGACATTGGCACTGTCCCCTCAAGGGCCCACCTCCATTTGGCTGCCCATCCCTCCTTCCTGGGCAGTACCTCCCACTGGCTCAAGAGGTCCTTGGTGGATGAGAAGGTGCACAGCTGGGTGGAGGAACCGACGACAACTCGGGGGAGGCCGCCCAGGGCCCCACGCCACAACCCCACTAGTCCATGTTTCTGGCCAATCTTGGTTAGTGCCTGAATCATGCCCTGGTAGGGGGAAGACCATGGGGGCAGGGTTTAGTCACTTCAACATCAGGGGCTGCCACCCCCTAACACTGTCAAGGAGTGGGCCTTAATACTCCTTTTTTTTTTTTTTTTAAATTAGTACACCTTTTATCCAGACAACCAATCTAATGTGAGCTTAGAACCAGAATGTGGACCCTCAGTTGTCTATAACCCCTTGCCAGCCCAGAGTAGGGAAATGAGGACATCACTGGGGCAAGACAAATGGGGCAGGAGAAACAGCTGCAGAAGATTTGAGGAACAAGCACACATAAGGGTCTAGGTGGGCTCCAGGTGCAAAGTGGGGCTGCACGATGGGCTGGGCAGAGCAGTGGCCAGGGTTAGAGCTGCTGAGTGCAGGCAGAAAGCTGGGAGGAAATGGGAGAGGGTGGGTGAGCACTCCAGTAAGTCTGGGGACCTCTCACCTTATGCTTATACTGGTGCCCTACAGCAATTTCAGATGCTGCTTGTGCCTGTAGGTGTGTCTTCACCTGGAAACAAGAGATGTCACAGTCCATCCCCCACTGGCCATCTTCCTACTTTAGAGACCCCCTCAGACTTCCTTTAGAGTGTTAAGGAATGAGTACCCTTTTAATCTGATAATTATTGTTGTCCCCACTTAATAAATTGGTCATGAGACTCTGTGTCCCTTGGCTCCAATCCCAGGGGACAGATCTCCTAGCAATGCAAGATACCCTTCCCCCTCCACATCCTCTTTCCCTTGGGCACTGGGGGTGGGGGATGGAGAGGTTGGAGAATGGCAGTATTTCCTAAGACTTCATGTTAGGCAAGACCCAGGTGCCAGGCCTCTCATGGCAGCTCCTATTTCCAGAGCAGAGCTGCTACCACCTTGACCAGGCTCTATCAAACTGGCCAAAATGTCCTCTCTGGCCCCCAGGACTCATAGGGGTATGTGTTCAGCTGACTTTGGAGTGCCTTTTTAAAATTTTTATTTTTTTGAGATGGGTCTCAAGTGATCCTCCCACCTCAGCTGCTGTAGCTGGGACTACAGGTGTGTGCCATCATACCTGGCTTATACTGATTTTGAAAAGGTCCTGAACCTCATAACCTGGGAGCAAGACCATGTTGCTTCTCCTCCAGAACACTTTGCCTCCTGCTCTCTTAGTGCACTAAGCAGGGCCTACTTCCAGCAATAAGCAGCTGTGAGAGTTTCAGCTGATTACTTCACCTCTCTGGGCTTTGGGTTCCCAACACTTCACTTATATCTGATAACTCAAAAGAGCAGACTGCAGTTGTAATTATGTGATGCTTAGAACCTTCCTGACCCCTACTCTTGCTGATGAATGTTACTCAGATTCCTCATCCTCACCTATACAAATCCAACCTCAAAATCAGGTAATAACCATAAGGCAGTTCAGCAATACTATCTATCAAATGCTTACTATTTGCCAGGATTTATACTAGTGGTTTACATGTGTTACTTCATTCTCCCTCAATCTCCTCTCAATAACCACACAAAACTAGGGGTTTAGCTCGGTGGTTCTGCTGCCTGCCTCTCAAGCTCGAGGTCCCGAGTTTGATACCCGGTACCAAACAAAAACAAAAAAACAAAAACAATAACCACACAGAAAAGGTATTATTCACTTACCCCCATTTTACAGATGTGGCAACTGAAGCTTAACAGTGAGTTAATTTTTTTTGTTTTGGTTTTGGTTTTTTGAGACAAGACCTCCCTATGTAGTTCAGGCTGGCCTTGAACTCACTATATATAGCCCAGGCTGGCCTTGAACTTGTAGTGATCCTCCTGCTTTAGCCTCCTTAGTGCTGAGATTACAGGTGTGGGCCTGGTTGAATGAGTTAATTTTCAAAGACAGAATCTGAGTTCTAGAAAGGCTGATTCCAAAGGCCATAATCTTCATTGACACATTTGATTGAGTCCATTGGATGGATGTATATAGAGCAGATCATAAGGCCCTAAGTCCTGCCAGCACTTTCCTAACATTCTTCCCTGCTTGCAAGGGAACAGCAGCCAGCTGCCTATTCCCTTGTGAAGGACCAGGGTCCCTCCCACTCTACATGAAGGCTCTGCCCCAAAGGCCCCAGGCAAGACCCCTCTTCTTACCATGTAGATGGGGCTTCCCAAATAGGCTCCCATGAGCCCAGCCAGGGCCCCAGCTGCTGCACTGCGGACAGGACTGTGGGTACCTTCTGCTGTGTGCAGGTAGCCACTAGAATCGGCCAGCCCGTAGGTGCCCAGTCGGATGCCATTCATCAGGAACTGGTACACAAGCGCAGGGCCCAGGCCCTTCTGCAGGGCAGCCAGGCCATCCACCTTCCCGATGGTGAAGAAGGCATGGAAGACGTTTTGGTAGTGCCGCTGATAGGTGCCTGGGGCCTGCAGTTCTCCCTGCAATTGCATCCTGGTCTTCACAACCTCTAGGGGATTGGTAAACACACAGGCCCCACAGGCTGCCAGACCACTCATCAAGAAGTCCATGGTACAGCAGTAACCTCGGAATGGAGGGTCAGAAATCAGGGGAGGACCCCAGCTTCTGCAGTCCAGGCTGCAAGAAGTAGAAATTTAGGGCCGGGGATTTAGCTCAGTGGTGCTGCCACCTGCCTCGCAAGCGCAAGGTTTCAAATTTGATCCCCGGTACCACCCCCCGCCCCCGCCCAAAAAGAAGTAGAAGTAGGAATAGAGCTCTAGAATCAAGCGTGACGGTCAAATGTCAAGAAGTCAAGGGTAAACTGAATTTGGAGCTAAAAGGAGCTGGCAAAGAGGGAAGAAAGATGAGTGCAGGACACTCTGACAAGAAGGTTATGACAGGCCTGTTGGCCAAGGGATCTGAGGTCAAAGAGGGGTAGAAGTCAGGAGCTGACAGGTAGGATGCTGGGGCTGGCAGGCTATGGGGCACAGGAAGGAGAGAGGGAGAAATGAGGAGCTGGGAGATGGAAGCCAGAAAGGCAGGAAAAAGAAAACCAGCAGGAAGAAAAGGATCCAGAAGATCCGGTAGTGTCGCTGGGACAGCAACGACAGCTGGATCAGGAAAGCAGGGGGCACTTTGAGCGTCCCGAGGTAGCTACCCGAGCCCGGAGCACCTTTAACCTAGGCAGCCTGCGAAGGCCGGGTCGCCACACTCCAGTCCCTGGAGCGGGGCGCCAATGGGGACCCTCGCAGAGCCGCAGCCAAGAGCCTCGGCCAATCAGAGTTGAGCCGGCTCCGCGGCCAATGGGAGGCGTTCTGGGCGATCCGGCCCCCCGGAATCGGCCGAGGCTGGTACAGTAGAATTAACTCTCCCTGCCCTGGTGCGGGGGTGGAGGCGGACTCTGGCTGCGGGTGGGCTCCCGGGGCGCGGAGGTTTTGTCACTGGCGGGAGGAAACGTTGGACCCTGGGTTCATGGACGGATGCAGAGGCTGAGCGCGGAGATAGCAGCTGAGGGCGTTTGGCTCCCTCCTTTCGCTCTCTATCCCGGGTCATCTCCGCCTGGGGCTGCCTAACTTCACCCGCGCCCTGCCCAGTCGGGGCCCAGGGAGGGCCCGGAAGCTACAGCCCCGCCCAGGAGAGACGGACACACCTGCCCTGTTGGCCCTTTCTCCCGAGGCCGAATGAAACGTGTGTAGGTTCCTGCGCCAGCATGTGGCAAACCGAGGGCGCCAGGGACGGAAGCCTGAAGGTCAGCGAAGGAACCTCATCCAATTCTTAAAGCTCTTTTGATCCTCACAGCCGCGTGGAGAAGAAGGCAGGGCAGGGAGTTTGATTCTCTCTACAATCAGGCGTGGGTTACAGAGAGCCCACAAGTAGTGAGTGAGAAACCCTAATTATCTGGACTCGTTCTTTCTCACGATTCTAGTTAACCCCGGAAAAACTTCCGAGGGTTGGGGATTTAGCTCAGTGGTTTCGCCGCCTCCTACGCAAGTGCAAGGACCCGAGTTCAATCCCCAGTACCACCCCCCCCCCAAAACCAAAAACAACCCAACTTCCGAGAAAAGAGACTGAGAAACTAGCTGGGAAGGAGTTGAGAGAAAAGGCTTAAAGAAAGGAGGGGGGTAGGAGATGGTACCTGGGGCGGGAAGAAGAGGCCGAGGGCTCCCCTCCTGCTTACTGTCTGGATGACTTTGGGCAAATTGGTTAATATCTCAGAGGCCCCTTGCAAAATGAAAACGATAGTGTCTGTTGCACACACTCCAGAAAAAGTGTCGGATTTTTCTTAAGTGGTCAATAATCAGCTTTCTTGAAAAGTCAGAACTCTGTGCCGCTTCCTGACATGTCCTTTTTCTATCTTCTGGGGATCTCCAAGTTACTACTCTTCACCTTGCATCACCTCCTGACTCAGGAAGCAACTCACATCCTGTTACTGGGTTTTGGGGTGCTGGAGTCTCTTTCTCGAGGTGGTTTCTAGGTTCTTTCTATCCTGAGCAAAGAATTGGTCCAGAGGAGCACAAATTGTAGCGAAGTTTTATTAAAGGTAGAGTTACAGTTGAATGGGCCAGTAATAGTCCAGGTTCCTGTGTAAGACATGGAAAGAACTGCCAAGCATATACCCAATATAAGTATCTACGTTTATTGAAGATCAGGGGAAGGTAGCAGCAGAAACTGGGAAAAGGGAAAAGTGTGTGTGTGTGTGTGTGTGTGTTGGGGGGGGTGTTTGTAACTCAGGCTTTTAGCATTTAAAGGCCAGACACTTCTAGCCTTAGGTGCCTCCCATTGAATCTCACTGGTGCCTACAGCTTGCAATCTCTTAGACTTTTGCGATGTTATTTTTCATCTCTCTTAGGATAATAGAAGCATGTATAACCACAGGGTGGAGGGAAGGGAGTGACTCACTCAGCTCCTTTGTTTCTAACTGTACTAGTAGGAAAAGAAAGAGGCTCTGAAGAGCAAGTTTGGGCCAAGTAAAAATAGGAAAAGAAGTACACCCTACAGCCTAAAGGCGAGTCACCAAGGAAGAGCAAACCTAGTGGCAAAAACTCAATGTGGGCTGTCCTTTTTGTATCACCTACTCCTCAGGCTGACCTCAGGTCTAGGCCATCTATGGAAAACCTGCTGGAGTTCCTGTGAGAAGTCCATGTGCAGGGCTTTGGGAACTGTTCTGTGCACATATTCTGGGATCTTGTCACGCCCCCTTTCCCAGCCAGTTTTAGCCATGTTCTGCCTTCCTATCTCAATCCTGTTCATACATTTACCCACTTTTTTTCATTTTGGCTACCAACTGTTTATTTTCCGGATTCTCCCCGGGAGTTACTGGCTGCTGTGGAGGCCAGGTCTGAGTCCTCCATACACCAGTGAACTGCTAGATCATGGAGCCCTGGATGCTGAAGCAGGAGGGGTGGCCTCAGGGGGTTGGAGGGTTAAATAGAGTAGGTAATAGGGCTTCTCACATCCTGGGAGGGTGCTTGCCAGAAAATTTCCAAGGATGCAACCCAAATGACCCACCTGATGGGGAAAAGGATGACTTTTTTCTTCAGAATTTGTCACTGGAGATTGAAGCCAGGGAACACTGGGCTACATCCCAAGCCTCTCTGTCTTTGTCTCTCTTTCTCTCTTTTGTGGTACTGTTAGGATAATAAGAAATACATTTTTAAAGAAGAAGCAGAAAGTATTATAGACAGCTAAGTTAGATAAAAATTAACAGGCAGTCAGACAGGGACAGGCTCTCAGAGAGTCAGTGCAAAAGACAAGAACACATGAAAACTGTGTCTGAGGCGCAGCCACTGAAGTCCAGTCCTCAAGATAATTTTTTTTTTCATACTGGGAATCGAACTCAGGGACTCAAAGAGGCCTCCAGATAAGGATGCAATGACCAGACCTACATGACTGCCTGAGGGATAAACAATAACTTGAGATTGTACTGTGATTGGTATCACCTGGTCCAGTAAAGTCCAGATAGTTATCAGTCACCCAGTGGGTGACCAGAGCATCTAGACCCATTCCTTTCCAAAAGTGCCTTTGTTCTTTCCATATGCTCTTGCTACATGACTCGCTTCCCTATTGGATCAGTATTCGCTAAGCAGCTATACTTGTAATTCTATAGGGTGATTGTAGTTTAACCCAAGTTGTACCCACATTGTGACTTTGCTGTGTAAATTACCCCTGACAAAGAGCAACCTACTTTTGGGACCCCTCCTGTCTCTCAGGGCTATCTCTCAATAAATCTTCCTTATTTTATTTTATTTATTTATTTTTGGTACCGGGGATCAAAATTGGGACCTTGTGCTTTCCAGGCAGGTGGTGGAACCACTGAGCTAAATCCCTGGCCCAATCTTTCTTATTCTTTTATTTTGGTACCAGGGATCGAACTCTGCTCCTTGCGCTTGCACAGCAGGCAGTGAAACCACTGAGCTGTATCCCTGGTCAAATCTTTCTTATTCTTAACCTCTGTTGTTCCTTGGAATTTATTCATAGATTTTGAGGGACATGAATTTGGTGTATTTGAAATTTGTCAAGTTGGGAGTTATATTTCTCCTATATCAAAAGGAGAGGGGAGCCAGGGATTTAGCTCAATGGTTCCGCAGCCTGCCTTGCAAGCGCAAGGTCCTGAGTTCAGTCCCCAGTACCAAAAAAAATTTTTAAATGGAGAGGAGGAAAATCATAATTTTATTTGATTGTTGTTTCTCTAGGTCAGAGTCTCACTATGTAGTTTATGCTGGCCTTGAATTCACTGCAGTCTTCCTGCCTCAGCCTCCCTAGGAATTACAGGCATTTGCCACCATACCTAGTGGAAAAATCATAATTTAAAAAATGAAAACTGTTGGGCTGGGGATTTAGCTCAGTGGTTTTGCTGCCTGCTGCACAAGCTCAAGGACCCGAGTTCGATCCCCGGTACCAAAAAAAAAAAAAAAAATTGAAAACTGCAATGCCAGGACACAAGCTCAGTTTAATTTTTTTTTCTTCTCTCAGGAAACAATAAGCTTGGGCAATTTCCTTTCACCTGTAAATGGATTCAGCTATTCCCTTTTTACTCCTAAATGGTTCTCTTTCTGTGAATAGGCTACATTTTCACCTGCAAATTAGGATTTCCCCTACGAATGGACATTATCTTACTGAGAGTGGGCCAACCTCTTCCACCTACCAAACCAAGATTATCAAACTCTACAGATTTCCACTACCAAAAATGCATTAAAAATATTCTCAGTTCCAAACGGTAGTGTTTCATTTTTCTGAGTACTCACACTCCGTTTTCGAGTGTGTCCTAAAATCTCTAACAAACCCTTCCTGAACCTCTTCCTGACAGACCCTGAAAATTTTTGCATGACAGGAATCATTGTACCTGCAAACTTATTCTACAAGAGGGTGGATTACGTTCCTCATCTCAGCTTCAGAAACCTCTCAGACCCAGCTGGAGTAACAGTACTGGTGGGTGGGGATTATCCACTATCCCTAATTTTTTTTTTTTTGTACTGGGGCTCGAACTCAGGTCCTTGAGCTTTTGGGGCAGGCAGCGGAACCACTGAGCTAAATCCCCAGCCCCACTATCCCTAATCTTGTAACATCTAGGGAGGGTTGTATACCATCCCGCGCTATGCCACACTGTAACATCCGGGGGTGGATAACAAGTCACAGTTCTGCCACGTCATGCTGCTGCTCTGCTGGAACATACAGGTCCAGGAGATCCTAAATCCAGTGTCAGTAAAAGAATTAAAGAAGCAGTTTAAAATAAAGGAAGGGAATTTGAAGGTGGGGAAAGAGAAAAAGAGGGGACAAGGCGGACAACTACTTCCTATGGGTAGGGAGTATTTGAACGTGAATAATTCATGGATTTCTTCTTCTTTTTTTTTTTTTTTGGTACCGGGGATCGAACTCCAGTCCTTGTGCTTGTGCAGCCGGCGGCAAAACCACCACTGAGCTAAATCCCCAGCCCTACATCCATGTCTTTTTATGGCTTAATGACTCATTTATTTTCTTCAAAAATAATATTTCCTGTATGGATGAACCACCATTTGTTTATGCATTCTTTTTTTTTGGTACTGGGGATTGAACTCAGGTCCTTGCACTTGCATGGTAGGCAGTGGAACCACTGAGCTAAATCCTCAGCCCTGTTCATTCATTTATTGAAAGACATCTTGGTTGGTTCTAGTTTTATGGGAGTATAAATAAAGTTTTTATGAATATTTGCATACAGGTTATGGTATAGACATTTTTTTGGTGCTAGTGATTGAACCCAGGGCCTTGCACATGCTAAGCACATGGTCTTCTGTTGGGGACCAGCCATGATATATATTGATTGGTGGGGTCCAGGCCATAGGCCCCACAGTCCCAAGGCCCAGTGACTTGCCTCAGGAACAGAGAAATATGTAAAAGGTTATTTACTTCGGGGCTGTGTGGGAAAGCAATAATCACAGTGCTCCTCAGGCAAGATAGCATCTGCTGAGGGCAATACAAAATGCAGGCATCTAGCTATGGAGAAGGACTTTAACTTGTTCCCTTTGAAATGCTAAACTTGTGCCCTATCTTGCTACCCTAATCTCACTGCAGTCACTGCTCCTGGAAAAGTACACTACTCCCTCCTCTGAGCTTCTTGCTGAATAATAAAAGTGGGTCCATCTCAGAGTTCATCAAGTCTGTCCACTAGAATCAGGCTTCTCCTTGTCCCTCTTGTACCATGAATATTGTCTCTGTCTCTTTCTTTTATTCCCTGTCATCCTTCCTATAGGTATTTGGGGGGTCTGATCAACC